AAATGTATGTATTCATTTCTATTCAATCGCAATGCATAATCATAAGCCTAACTTTGTAACCTAACACTAACATATAAATTTACCCTATGAAATGTAAATAAAAGCAAAAATCTTGTAGTTTTAACGAACTTTGTGAATAACAGACTAAGTCTAGGAGGCAATTATAACAATTGAATATTAATATCAATTGAAACGAATATCACAACTAATTATGCAAGAAAACAACAATTTAGGAGCGCAAGAAAATACAAGATTACAAGAAGTTTTGTGAACACAACAAGGTTCCCACCCCTAATTTTAAAGAAAACCATAACTTATAAGTTTAAAAATTTTTTTTTAACAACTCCCTTAAAGTTTATGTTACTTTAGACATGTTTGGTATGAATTCTCTTAGATAATTACACGTACCTAGTATGCGTTGCAACTCTATTTTATTTTTCGGCTCCTTAAAATTTTTTATAGCTTCTATTTGACTTTCATCTGACNTTTTTGGCTCCTTTAAATTTTTTATAGCTTCTATTTGACTTTCATCTGGCTTAACTCCCTCATTATTAAATTTCATTCCTAAATACTTTATTTCCTTTTGTCTATACTGTACTTTTTCTGGATTAAACTTAACATTCAATTCTTTTGCTTTGTTTATTACTTCTTCTAGTGCCTCATCATGTTCTTTTTCATTAATACCTACTATTAATATATCATCTATATATATAATTACATTTTTAGTATGTCCAAAATATTTTTTATTAAAAAAAAGTCTTATTAAAGTCTTATTGTTAAAGTCTTAAAAAATACTTCTGGGGCACATGATATTCCAAAAGGTAATCTTTTAAATGCATAATACCCATAAGGTGAGCTAAAAGTACACAATTCACTTGACTCCTCACTTAGCGGTATCTGATAAAAACTTTCTCTAAGATCTATAACTGTAAAAATTGTTTTATTTACCAATTTTGCTCTTTATTTATTGGCATCATTCCCAATAAAAGAATATAATATTTCAGTTTTAATTTTATTTGACTTATTTTCCAAGTCATTAGCTGACAAATGTAATTCATATTTTCTTTTAAAATTCTTAAAATTTTCCATTAAGTTACCTTGTAGCTCCAGCGGTCCTGGGGCTGGTACAAGCGTACCTCTTTGACTGCGCCATGTTATGTATTTAAAAGTACTTATTTTAAATAAAAACTAGTTTTGTTATAACTGTAAAAACTATATTTTAAAAATCATAATTGCGTGATTCTTTTCTATGTCTAAACATCTTAATGAGGGGGAGAACGATGCTACAAGCTGCTTAACAGTGCATCTACTAATTGATTTATGCATTTTTTAAAAAGTTATAGCAATATAATGTTAAAAAATGTAAAACATAATATCAAGAATTTTTTCACAAAAATTACATATTTTTGCATACGGTAGTCATTTTCATCACGAAGACAAGTCCAGGGGTCAAATTTTTTTTTTCAAATTAAATTATATTACATTAGCTTTAATTTAAGGTATATATAAAAGTGTCAGTCTTTCCGGAACATTTTCAAAAGTTACGTTGAAAAAGTTAATTTTTTGTAAAAAAGTTACCATTTTGAAATCCTTCCTGTGGGCTTGTAAAGGGTCAAATGTTCACAAAAATATATAACATGATAGGTGGAATACCTAAGGTATCAATAAAAATATTTATATTGATTCGGTCATTTTTAAAAAAGTTTACGGGGAACGAGTGATTTTTTTCAAATTTTGAGGTTAATGTCTTCGACTAGATACGATTTGTGATCTTTTGACATATTTTTCATCAAAATCGGCCCAGCGAGAGCTGAGATTGAGCGTATACAGACACAAAAAAAAAAAAATACATCATAGTAAAATTATTAGCTTCTCAGATTCGCATCGAAGCTAAAATATAACAACAGAAGATAATTTTCAAATTATTGCTTTTTCTGTTAAACATTTGATAAACAATCAACTTCAGTGAGATATAATTAAAAAGGTAATATTTGATTATTTGATAATGAAACCATTGAAATTCTTATTTGTTATCCAAATAAAATGTCTTACCAAGATCAGAAAAAATTATATCTAACATTCAGACTAAATTTAAAAGAATAAAGTATAAAAAAAACACATCATAGTAAAACCAATACCTTTTCAGCTTCCCATCGAAGCTAAAAATAAAAAATCTGATAAAGACACAATACACACTTGATCAATCTGTGTCATTTAATGGATTATTCGGAATTTATTGTCTACTTATTGCAATTAACAACAAACAGGAAACTAACATTATTATATAAACTGTATATATAAATTAAATAATTATCAATAAAACTATAATACCAAAAATTCTGAAAATATATTTTATTTTTCAAAAAAATCACTAATCGATTTAAACTAAGTTTCATAGATTCTTATAAATTTTTGTCTGCCAGTCTAGACAAGATGAGCAAATAGTAATTTAACGATAATTTTATCGAAACAAAGATAGGATTTAGTTCATTGGATTTGGTAACACGTAAAACATTGTTCCCTTACGAGTACTTTGACAATTGAAAAAACTTAAATGAATCGAAACTTCCACCAGCTGTTAAGTTTTACAGCTCTTTAACAAAAACATCGATTTCGGAAGATAAATAATTATGCTCAATCCGTATGGGAAAGATTTAATTGTTTAGCACTTGGAGAATATAGTGATGTTTATTTGAAAATCGACTGCATGATACTGGCAGATATATTTCTAAGATATATCAGCTTAAAACCTGACCCGACATGTAAGGCTGTAGATAAAATCCTTTGTCCGATTTTCCAACACCTTTTCTGCTTTGTTTTGGTCCTCGAAATTCTCATATTTACTTTAAACGATATCGATTGCAGCATCAACTTCATCCCAACTTCACTTCGTTGTATCCTATCTTCTTACCTTGTTCCTAAGACCGCAAATTGACAGTATATTCAATTTAAAAAAAAATAATAAAAACGTTTAAATAATTTTAGACACATCTGGAATGTTGTCTTCAAAAGGTAGTTTTTTTATTACAGTGTTCAGTAGATCTGTTCCTTGTTGTTTTCGATGTTGTCTCTGATTGACCATTTTTCCCATATTGATGGTTACGATTTGATGACGTGTGATGCGTTTCAAAAAAAAGATGATCACGTTACCTGTTGTGAATTTTGATAAAATTAATAAAATTGTACGCAGTAAACACGGGAAACTTTTGCCTATCATAATACGTGCATTGATTTCTGGTCTGTCGAATTGCGGAAAAACTAATCTGTAGTTTACCGTGCTGACTGATATTGATAGACTTCGATTCGAAAATTTTTACATTTATTCGAAATCTTCACATTAGTGCAAGTATTAAATGTTAATGGAAGTTTCACATGGTGCTCAAGAAAGTGTATTTGTTTATCTATGAAAACAGAAAAGACGTACCTTGGTGGATAACGACCTAGCCAATTTCATTTTCATATTAGATGATGGACTTTGACTGATATGACTTTTTGTTTTTAAATGATATCGTCACAGTCGGCCGGCGATACAAGAATTACACCAGAAAACGTCTACATTTTTTAATTGTTTGCTGGGTTTGGTTACATTGAATAGATACCGTCGACGCTATGAAAAAAAAATATGCTGACGAACTTCACCGGCATGTCCGTCGGAACTACTTAAGTGCTCGAATAAATATTAAACGCCTCGACAATATATAGCATACTGACCTCGTGGAAAATATTCTGATTAACGTCACCGGTACATTTTGACGTGCATGGATGGATTTTCAAAATACACGTGGGTCATTCCATTGAAAAATTAAACGGCCAATGAAGTTACCGAAGCCATGAATGGAATACTGAAACAAGGTAGTTATCCTAAGCTTATGCAGACGGATTTCGGAAAAAAATTTTCAATAAATAATTAAAAAAAATAATGTTACGGTACGGAATCAATTATTACTCGACATTATTCGACGATGAAAGCATGTCTCATGGAAAGTTTCAACAGTACATTGACAATAACAATGTGGCGCGATTTAAGCGAACGTGACTAATACAAGTGGGTGAATCGGTTACCTAAACTGTAGCACGAATATAGCATTGTACGTACGTAGATACTTACGTAGATACGTAGATACGTACTTGATTTTAAATGTTACACTAAAATAAGTAATAAAATACTAAATAATGTAACACGGTTTACGATGATATTAACGCCAAAAGCGTTAGAGTACTTCATTTTAAAGTAATAGAAAGAATAGTTAAGAGTAATAAATATTAATAACAATATATTTGACAAGAGCTACTTAACAAACTGGAGCATGGAACTATTTACCGAGGTCAAGTTTGGACGACACTCAGTACCACCTACGTACCATTTGTAAGATTACCAGGGAAATCCAATACGTATATTTTCTAGGCTGAAAAATTGGGTAAAACGTGTTATAGGGACTTGTTGAACGAGAGCTGCAAACAACTGGAGATCAGCACTACGTGAAATCACTAAGGTTTGGAGCACAACTTATGGATGTCAAAGATATGCAAAGTGTAATTGTTGCCGACTAATAGTTTTTGGTCAGAAAACTGACTGCTATTGTCATAGACTGTATATAATTCACACATGGATGTTTAAACACCCAAAAATCATCAATGATAATTCGAAAAAAATATCTGGTCAAAAATATATCTATATGTAATTAATATTGATTGCTAAGATGTTAAATACGATAAATACCAATATTAATGGTACTGTTGTGGTATCAACAAGTAATAATTAAGTGATTATTCTTTTCCTAAATTTTGAGGGAGGGAATCATAATCAAAAGTGAAACTGTGACGTGTCTGAACGGGTCCGCGGGAATGATCTCAGTTGTGGTGGAGAACGTCTCTAAATTTGGAGTGGGGTTGAGATCAAGTGTATGGGTCAGGGCTATGGTCATGTTCACCAATCAGAGAGCATGTCATTGCAGTTAATTTAAAGAGAAATTAATTATTTTAAAATAACAATTATAGCATAATTACAATATTTTAATAAGTCTCAAATAAAAAATCAAATTTTACACGGTAAATTATTGAAACCTAAATACTCATAATCATTTTTCACAACCTGTAGAACATAAGAGTCCCAATAATCACACATAGTTTGATAAGTAGTACTATATTGTGATAATTTATTGTTATTAATCAATTGTTCAAATATTATAATTAAGGATATGTCTGATTGACATTTAATAATTTGGCAATATCTCATGTTAAATTGAATCACGTTTTTTAATTTCGTCTGTAAATCTGAAGATTGAACGTGAGCTACGCCTTCAAGAAACGTTTCAGCTTCATAAAATCCATTCTTAATAAATAACAATGGGGAAAAATACTTTTTTTTAACATCATTCAAATAATCAATAAAAAATTCTATCAGTTTCTCTAAGAGTAATTCTTGAAATTGATATTTTTTAATACCCTTTTTGTAGTATCTCAAAGTAGTCAGAGCAACTAACATTTTTTTAAACATGTCATTGGATTTCATAAGTGTTTCATAAAGCTTAATTGCACAGTTAATTTTATTTTCACATTTACAAACATTAGCTATATGTCCCAACATTATAGAAAAATTGCGAACTATTTCAATATAGCGACATCTTAAAATAAGTGCAAGACATGTCCGCACGAAATAATAATTTTCCAAATCAACCGTACATGTAATATCTTTAAAATATAGTGATTTTCCCTTTGTAAATTCATTTTTAACAGCTATATATTTCAATGATTGCCAACCAGTATAACTAAAAAAATGATTACACAATACAATGCCTTCATTATGGCCGTATATCTTTCTTTTGGAATGAATATACCTGTATGGAACAAAAAAAATATATATGGATGCTAAAAATTAATATCTTAAGAATTTTACTGTTTAAATAACAAAATAAAAGTCTAAAATTTAAGTATGTAAACATACTAAACTATAAATCTTACTTGAACTTATTTGTTCCTTCTAGATGTTCAAAGCCTAGTTTTGAATAACAATTTTCAATTATTCCGGTAAAATATAATTCAAGATCTTTATAAATATCATTAATATATTCGTTGGAGTCCTCTACCAGTTTTTCCATTTGATCGATATTATATTTCATCAATATTTTGTCTAAAATTGAACTTTCGTGTTCTGTCCCACATACTTTTCTATTTTTGTAGAGATTTGATATCATTAATTCCGCTTTTTTATTAAAATGTTTTATGCTTTCAAAAGTATTGACCCCATTAAAAGTACTAGGTAGTTCAAGTAATGAAATATTGCTTAACCCAACTGCATATGCGTAAAAATAATTTATTTCACTATCTACAGTTTTAACATTAAGGATAGGCGAGTCTAAAATTCGTAGGTCAATATTTTCAAGATATTTTTCCACTTTAAACATTTCTTTAAACATATTTATTGAACAATTAAAAATGTAAATAATTAGCCTTGTGCAATAATTCAATTTATTATTTTGATTTTTATAAAAAGTCATTTCACACTTATTTAAAACAAGGCCTAACATTACATTGAAAGTTTGCATTGTATTGGTATATTCACAGTTTAGGAGATAAGTTATAAAGTAAAGTTTTTGTATAAAATTACTTTCATCGATAATTTCACTTGTTACGGTTTTGGTATTAATTGTTATGTCCTCAACTTTAATTGCTGTTTGTTGAATGGAGTTCCATCCATTTTGAACACGAATGTGGTTTAATGAGTTAATTACGTATTTTTTGAAATCTTCACTTTGAGGATTACAATATATATCTAAAATTTGATTTAATTGCAAAAATAAGAAAAACTCATATAAAATAATTTTTTTAGACATTTTTTTTAATTTTATGAAACGAAATTTATTATATAATATTATTTTTAAGAGTAAAATAATTTTGAACTAATTTTTTTTAAATTGCTTATATTTTATTGAAATAGAAAAAGAACGTCATAATCTTTTTTGTAAAACAAGTATTCTGCGACTTGTAATATGTTTAGTTTGATACTTCTATGTGAAATTGATATAATAATAGTTATAATAATGACGTATGTATGTACACAATTTGAAGTTCATATTGTTTCAAAAATTTATTGTTACACAAATAGTTGAAAAATTTTAATAATTGTATTCATTAAAATTAAAATAAAGTTAACAGTTTTATTTTAATAAATTATGTTATTTGATTATTTTCCTTCATATTTTCCGAACGTGTAATAATAACCAATAAAATAAAAATTAAAAAAATGGTTGAACATTAAAATGATAAAATGATAGTCATATAATTTATGACACAAGGTGATAGAAAAACGACTTTCCACTTAAAATCGGTTTATTGAAAATGTTTATTAAATCAAAACGCTTGTTTGTTTACGGTATTTAAAACGAGAAGAGGCTTGTTTGAATTTTGTGTATTACTATTCGGATTCAAATATTTACCTGTGATATTTATTGATAGAATTACGCCTAGGCCTGCGAGGCCCGGGCCTGGGGTGGCATAATTTGAAGATTAGCAATATGTTTGAAATGCTAAAATTTTAGAGGCGTAAAAAGTTAAGACAATATATGATATTATAATTGAATTCATTTATTTACTTCTTTATTTGTTGGTAAGATAATAATTTTTTAATAGATCTAAGATAGTCATTATTGAATAATGTTCTTTTCTTTTTATTTGTGTAGTGACAATAATAATTTATACACGTGAAATTACAATATTTGAATAACTTCTCAATTTGTTTTTTATGTGAAACAAAAATACCGTAAATTTACATGTATTAAATATCATTTTGATATTCGTTCAAAAATGTCAGACCATTTTTTGTTCATAAAAATACTTTTTTGAGAAATATATCGTATCTTATTCAATATTCAATTTTTAAACCATCAAAATATTTTGTAATAAAAATGAAATTTTTATTTAAAATCGAGAAAAAAAAAATTTCAATAATCCTCATATTTGCAAAAATTTTCAATGACATCTTTAAATTTCAATTTTTTTGAAATCCAAGAGCGAGAATTTCTAATTTTTTTTTTATTTAAGTATATAAGTTAATATATATTAAAGTTGACTTGTGATATAGTTACATTAATGTGCTTATTATAAGTCGTACGTCGGTAGTGCCCCAACGTAGACACAAAGGTTTATTAAAGTTTTATGTATATATAAATTGACGACGAGTTCGTCGTTTGAGCTCTTCTCGAGTCTTTCNTCAATTTTTTTGAAATCCAAGAGCGAGAATTTCTAATTTTTTTTTTATTTAAGTATATAAATTAATATATATTAAAGTTGACTTGTGATATAGTTACATTAATGTGCTTATTATAAGTATAACTAAAAATTTGTAAGAATTTTATTCATTATCTGAGTGTTTAATTTATGTGACGGTACTTTCAATTATTTCAGAGGAGCGGGAGTATAGTACATTATTAAGACTTATAAGAAGTTCAAGTGAGAGGATACGCTTAGCATGTACGTTTAAATTTGTTTTGTTTAATGTATTTCGCGCTGTAGAAAAGTCACATAGATCATTTTATTTTAACAAATGTTCATCATGTGTACAAATCTCGAATTATTTTATTCTGTTTCTTAACATTTAAAAAATAATTGGTTGATTAATTTATATTAGATATTGGTTTTTTTTATAATTTGTGGTAGTTTTGATTTCATTTTGTAATTAAATATCTGTGGTTACTGAAAGAAATTTAGCAGTGTTAAATATCGTAAAAGAAAAACAGAAGAATCTATGAAAATAGATAATTTGCTTAAACAAATTCCAAAAATATCTAGTTTTATAACAAGGTCAACTAAATCTTTTAATAATTTAACTAATAATCATTATGTTCAACAGTCATAAGTATTTTGTTATGATTTAAATCATTTTTTTTTTGCTTCGATGCAAAGCTGAAAAGATAATAATTTTACTAGAATGTGTTTTTTTGTGCCTGTTAGCAACTTTTTTCAGATTTGACTAGACCGATTTTGATGAATGATATGTCAAAAGATTACAAATCATATCTAGTTAAAAAGGGCATATGAAAATATTTACGAAAAATTTAATTTTTTTGATGATTTATCAAACATAGATACAAACGAATTGAAAAATCTTGCCAATAAGCTAGTCAGTAAGTATCCTGAAGATTTAGAAGAGACGTCAAGTAATAAATATATTCATTTACATTGTTTTCTTAATGATTCCCTAGTAAATACGGATAATGTGCGCTCTTCACAAAAAATATGCAATGTATTGCATTCACGAAGTCTTTGAGATGTTTATCCGAATGTGGATATTGCTCTCCGTATCTTTTTGAGTATTCTAGCAATAAATTGTTCAGTGGAAGGATCTTTTTCCACTCCAAAAAGGGTAAAACTTAGTTGTGGAAAACTCTCCCAATTGATCTGCAATTATAATTCATCAATTTTTTATACATGTATTCAAATTTCAAAAATGATGTATTATCATGGTCACATGGGTCAATAAACAAATATTCTGTTATCAATCAATTGAGTAAGCAATTAACATATCATACTAAACCATTGATATTCTTACCAAACGCAAGATATTGATATTGATGTTCGTAATTGATTTTATCGTGACTTTTTTTGCTGCGTAGTTAATGGCAACAATTTAAAACGATATTGAACTGATAAATATAAAATTCAACGATTGTTACATTCCCGATGCTATGTTACATGATGTAATATTAAAATAGTAAGTATTATTATAGTTTATACCTCTGTGAATAGGGGATAAGAATACTTCTCTGGAAGCTGTAAGACTAAGGTTGCGTCAGGTCGACAGCTGGCGTAAAAATTTGTCTAAAAATGTGAGGGGTCATTAACAAAAATTAGGTTATCCCATTTTGGATTTATGTAGGGACTACAGGCAAAAGGAAATAAAGTAGTTGAAAACAGAGAAGACTTAAAGAATAAAGTGTTTGATACCAGCCGGATAACTTGTGCGGTAGCTGTTTCATCAGTCGTGTGTACAGGTACCCAAAAAGGACATCACCATTTAACTCTAGGCTGTACTTGTGTATAAAGAAGAATAATAGATACAAACTAAGAATAGATACTTGGAATGTTGGAACATTAACTAGTAGAAGTATCGAAGAGGAGAAAAATGAACATTTGCTGTGTGCTGGAAACTTTGTGGAAGGGAAAGAAAGCAAGAGAAATAGGTGTATATAAAATAATATACTCAGGTAAGTCTAATATAAAGAATTATGTAGGGATAATAATGGGTGAGGAGATGAAAAGTAAAATTGTAGAAGTAGCTAGGAAAAGTGACAGAATAATAGTCGTAAAACTAATTATCAAGAGAAAAGTATTGAATGAAATAAGTGCCTTTGCACCAGTAAAATGTGATAAAATAGAAAAGGAAGTCTTTTGGAGAAAAATGGATGAGGTGTTGCAAGGATTACCTAGCAATGAAGATGCGGTGATAGGTTGGGTTATCAATGATATCAATGGACATGTAGGTAAAGAGTTGAGAGGATACGAAAGTATACATGGAGGGTATAGTTTTAGTGGGAACAATGAGGCTGGAGATAGAATCCTAGATTATCCTGATGATCTGGCTGTGGTTAATACTTATTTTAGATAGAGGAAAGAACATTATATAACTCATAATAGTGGGAGTAATAGATCACAGATTGATTATTTTATGTAGAAAGAGAGAGCGTACTATCGAGTGATGATGACGTGAAAAAAGGTGGAAAGAGTATTTTGAAAAATTACAGAATGAAGATTATCCAAATGAGACATTAAAGGATATCTTGTGGAACAAGGGTCTGGTTGATTTAATAAGTGAGAAAAAGGTATGGGAGGCAGTGGCATCAATGAAAAATAATAAAGCAGTATGAAGTGCCAGTAATGTTTAGAAACATGGAAAATATTAGGCGGTATTTGCATAAGGTGGTTGAAGGATTTTTTAAATGAAATCTTATTAGAAGAGAAAATCCCAAATGAATGAAGAAATAGTATTGTGGTGCCGATATTTAAAGGTAAAGGAGACATACAGGAGTGTAGAAATTTTAGAGGCATAAGGCTTATGAGTCATAGAATGAAAATTTGTGAAAAAGTAATAGGTAAGAGAATAAGAAATGAGATATTGGTATCTAAAAATTAGTTTTGATTTATGCCTGAAAAGTCAACAATGGAGCCATTATTTTTTGCGAAGAAAATAATAGAAAATTTTTAAGGAACGAATATATAAGATGGAGTATAGTTGTAGTGTCAATCGTTGATATGATGAATATAGATTTAGATAGATTATTTATGTTATGAGGAGAGACGAATCGGAAGCTGTAAGAACAGTTATAGAAATGAATGTTGAAAGAAGAAAAGATAAGAAAGACAAAAAAAGAGATTGAGGAGTATAATTGAATGCGATATGTGGACGGCTGTATGAGCGTAGATAATGTGAAAGATTGTGTCAAATTTAAGTTTATGATAAGGGTGATCGACCTCAAGTAGTTGGAATTAAGACGAGGAAAAAAAAGAAGTGTTATTATAGTTTATATTTACTACTTATGTTGAATGTAATTCATATTCTATGGAAAAATTAAAAGAAGAATAATTTACTTATGTAGGTATATTTATTTTTATATGGTCTGTTAAAATTTCAAAATGGCCTTCTTGAAATGCATCCAAAAATAAACTGAAATGATGCCCTTGCTTGCATATCTGTCTATTGAAGCTCTATTAGTCCAAGAAATTAATTATGACGATATAATCGACGTTTTTGCTTGGATTAAAGTCAGGAAAAAGAAATGTTCAAATTGATAAATATTAAAAAAATAAATGTATTATTTATCTGTCATATTTATTAGTTATTTTTAAAAATTATATTTAAAATAAAATTATTGTGTCAAAATTAATGAAATTAATTTTATTAAAAATCGCGGTGCATCGGACAGGGCCTAGGGTGACAGTAAATCTAAATCCGCCACTGGTGATATTAGTAAAACTCATGAACGAAGTACTAAGAGGATTTTTTTTTTTTTTATTAGAAATATACAATCTGTCCAATGAGAACAATAAGCATACATGATAAGAGTAGAAAAATTTACATAAATACATTTTGATAGAAGAAACCACTTATTAGTGACATTAATTTTTTATTTTTTTAGAATTTTTTTTTATATTTCCAATGACTTAATTATATTATTGTTAATTAATAATATTAAAAAGAAGATCACGGCACCACTTACGTTTTAAACGTCTGGGTGGGTCTCCAGGTATGGACAAGGTTGAGAGTTTTTTTATTAGGGGATTAGAGTGGGAGAGTAATTTACTGTGGAATCGTTTATAGTAGGAGATGGCTTCTTCATGAACTGTTTTTAAGTTAAGGTCGTTATGAAGTGTATAATTAGNTTTTTTTTTTTTTGTGTGTGTGTCTAAGATTCTAAGAATCAATCTAAGTATAGACAAAAACTCAAGGATAACGATTGCAGACTTTGCAGGCGAATAACTTTTTAAAAAATAACCAAATCAATGTAAGTTTTTAATTATATATATAATTTTAATTATATAAAATTAATAAATAATTACGATTTTTGTAAAATAATTCTTTTTTATATTTTTAACTTAACTTGAACTTAGTTACGCCGATCACCTCTAATGTTGTCGTCGTTGATGGTAGAAAATAATCCAGTTGTTGATAATATAATACAAAATTGATCAAAGTCAGATAAAAAAAATCTAAATGAGTTAGCTAAAATAGCCGTGACTGTATTCGAAAATTTGTTAAAAATAAAAAGTAAAATTATCTAAGATAATTCCGAACTCCAAATCCAGAGGTATATTACCGCTGATCATTAGTTCATCCAAGCATACCGCTTTATGTCCTACATTTTAAATACTAACTTTTTATTAGATTTTTCAAAGAAAAAAACAAATGTTTCAGTATACAGAGTGTTCAGTAAATGAAGAATGTCAATCGTTACAAACAATGGGAACAAAAGAATCCTATGTCCTTATTTACTGAATACTCTGTATAAGACCGAGTGGATTTAATTGCTGTTGGAGAGTACCTCAGAAGCACCATGGACAATTTCGACGTTTCCTGTATGATATTGTTGAAAAAATACTGAAACTAAGTGTCTATTGTCGTGTATTAGGTCTCAAACGTTTAAATTGTATAGAAGGATAAAAAATAGTGTAGTCAATGATATAATATTTCTTAGGCTACAATTAATATTTTATAGAAATTTTAAAAATTTAACATTATTTGTTCATAAATAATAAAACATAACTAATAGATTATTTTTTGGTAACATGTTGCTATATAAATCATTTCTAAAAAAAAAACGGTAGCACAGTGGGGTCGAGGCACAGTGCGGATGAGGCAAAGATGGGACAAGTATAGATGATATCTGACAGTGATTAAAATCACTATCATAAGAAACGCTTCGATGCAAATCTGTAGATAGTGTTTCATTTAGAGAAATTGATGGATTATTCCAAAAGGATCATCAACTCTTATTTCTTTAATTATATCCTGATTAGTAGTTCTTTGATTTTAAAATATAATATAAGAATAAATACTAATTATAATTATTAAATTTAGTATAAAATTGATATTCAATAGTTTAATATAGTAATTTATACGGAGAAATTATAAAAATAATAAAGAACTTATATTTTGCTTTACTTTTACGTGTATAAATTATTACTGATTTGATTTTTAATATGTTAAAAATAATCAATCCAAATTTTCATTTTTAACCTATTTTTTTGGTTCTTTAAAGTTGATGAAAAATTTTTGATAAAGTTTTGTGAAAGTTTACAGTAAAAAAATTGAATATGTTACCATAACTTTAGCTCAATTACAAGTTTGTAATTGACATCATGAAATAGAAAATTTTATGAGAATTATAACAATGCTATTTTTAAGATTGATATGCAGTCAGGAAATTTTATAATTACTATTTATTTTAAATTTATCTGAAAAGCTCAATGTTTTTTTGCATTTTTATCGTAATATATAGCTTAAATAGAAATAATAGTAATCATTTCCTAGTAACTTTTGATGTTTAAAAAGATTCTACAATTGAAATATCCAGAACTGAATTAATTTTAATGATTTACTTTAACTAAAAAAAAAAAAGTTAAAAAGCTATTTTAAATCCCTCCTGTGAGCAGAATAAGTGTTAGATTTTCAAAAAAAAAATGATATCAAATGGAAGGGAATATCTAAGGTTTCAATAAAAAAAAATATAATTTTGATTTGTTAATATTTGAAAAAGTTATAGCAGTTTTAAGTAAAAATAACATCCTGATAAAAGGTGATTTTTATCGCAAAGATTACATTTTATTTTTTAAAAGAAATCGGTCCAGTGAGAGCTGAGAAAAAGTGGCAACAGACATAAAAAAATAAAAAACACATCATGGTAAAAGTAATACCTTCTCAGCTTCGTATCGAAGCTAAAAAAAAGACATCATGGTAAAATTAATACCTTCTCAGCTTCGTATCGAAAATAAAATGCAAAAATAATATTGACCTTTTTTGATAAATTTATAGTAAATACTATTTATATAATTTACCGAATACATATTAATTTTAACAATAGAATTTTTTTATTCTCATGAAATTCTCTATTTATTAATGTAAATAAATCATTTCAAAAGAAATATTAATAATTTCTATGTAATTTTTGGTTTAAAATAGATAATACATTTGAAATAATCAGAACTATTTTCCTTGTAGTTATATCTTATAGTTTTTATTTAATTAGTTATAATATCAAAAATGATTAAAGTGCATTATATTAGTTTTAATTTAAGATATTCAGGTGATTTTTTTATCATAACCCACTCAATTACTTACAGAATAATAATAATTTAAAATTTTATTTTTATTACTATCTTTAGTTACACATTATTCTTGAATTATTAACTATTTGATACTTGATTTTTTAAGACATCGATATTAGCAGGTACACAGCATTGTTATTATCAATGATAGNTAATTGATTTTTTATGACATCGATATTAGCAGGTACACAGCATTGTTATTATCAATGATAGTAAGGTACATTGTTGTGAGTTTATAAATACACTAACTGACAATACAAAAAGTTTATCTATTGATAGTCATAATTGATAATAAACAATCCGTGACTGTGATAGCAATATCATAAAAAACCGATTAGCTACCTGTATTTGTAATCCCTTGTGTATTATACCTATATATTAACTCAAAAATTTGAAACTTAAAATGTTTATATCTAATAAACAAATTAAGTTTTATTAAAAATTCAAATGCCATTTATTATTAAATTAAAAACTCAAATATCTTATTAAATTAAAAATATGTGTTACCATTTAAAAAAACAAAGTTGACACCCTTACCAGGCACAAGGGATGAATTTAAAAAGTATTACATAGTTAATAATTCAAGAATAATGTGTAACTAACAATAATAAAAAAAAAAAAAATTTAAATTATTATTATTCTGTAAGTAATTGAGTGGGTTATGATAAAAAAATCACCTTGTATATAAAAGTGTCAGACTTTCCAGAACACTTTGATAAGTTAAGTTGAAAAAGTTGTAATTTAGAATCCCCTTCTGTGGGTCTGATTTATAAAATAAAAATATACCAAGTAATAAATAAAAAAATCATGCATCTATAAAAAATAATTACATTAATTTGGCAATTTTTAGAAAAATTATGTTATTTTTAATTTAAAAATATGTCAAAAATTATCTATTTTTAAAGTTGTAATGTTTTTGGAGATTTCCTTCATTACCTTTATTGAAGGAAATTTTTTCAATTTTTGAGGGTAAAGCAATTTATAAAAATTAATTGACTTTAACTTACATTAAATATAAAATTAAATATATTTTGATTATTTTACCTACTAAAAATTAAGAAAAGCAACTTCGAATTTTTGAACTAGCTTGTTAGTTTTTTTTATCTGATGATTCTTGTAATGCACTGTGGCTGCGTCGTATAATATACAGCCTTACACGCTAGGGGTACTACTTTATAATTTCTCCATAAAAATTATTAAATATTAATTTTACACTAAATTTAATTGATATAATAAATATTTAATTACATATTATACTTATAAATTATAGAACTACTAATTAGGAATAATGAAGAAAATAGGAGTTAATTTAGATTTTCTTCCAACTATCAATTTCTTAAATTTTAAAATTATATACAGATATCCATTCCACATTGTGCTACCTATTTTGTTTTTGAAAATTTTGACAATTCGAATAAAATGTTGTATCAACGCTTTTCACTCATTAGTTCCTAAAATTTGTATGTTAATATTTTTCAAATAAGATTTTACAGTACTTTTTTTTTAGCTTCGATGCGAAGCGGAGAAGGTATTAATTTTACTATGATGTGTTTTTTTTTTNGAAATACTGCGTCCTTTAAACATATATAAAATTAAAGCTTATTTTATGTACTACAAAATGAAAAAAAAAAATTTGTCCCGACGACCTATCTTCTATACGCAAATGGCTACCATATTCAAAAATATGCTATTTTTGTATGAAAATTATGGGTTTTGTATTTTATTTTAATAGAAGTTGATGTTGCTTTTGCAATTATCCATCAATTTTTTAAAATTAAAAACTATCTACAGATTTGCATCGAAGCGTTTCTTATGATAGTGATTTTAATCACTGTCAGTTTAAATCTATACTAAACCCAACTATGCAATGTCTTCACTATGCCGCGACCCCACTGTGCTACCGTTTTTATTAGTTATTTGTCTTTATTGTAAAAATGGTTACCAAATGCTATTTTTGTGTGAAAATTCTCAATTTTTTATTTTACATTTTTAAATTTAAATTTCATAATTTTTTGAAAAATTTATGGATCAATACAATTTATTCATGAGAAAGTACTTCTCATGAATTATATAAATAGTACATTTATATACATCTTTCATTCGACATACTTATATTATTCAATTTTTCGTGCTAATTTCAAATCAGCAATTATATGTTTTCGATCACT